ATTAGAGCTTTGTATCAGTTAGAGATATGGTATCAGAGCTTGCAGTCTTGGCCAGAGTTACCCAGGCATTTGTCTTTGGTTAACTTATAGGTGGAACTTCAATACAAAAATTTGAAATAAGAGAACAAATGTAACAACAAGGGTACAAAATTAACATGCATGTGAAAATAAATGTCCATAGTCTTGAATTGTTTCTGGCAGGTAGTTTTCATCTTGTCTTAGCACAGTTCAAATCTGAGCGCTTGCTTCTTGTAACAATCGTATCTATCTATCCTCTGCAACAGTTACCAAAACCAGCTACAAGTCATTTTGCTTGCATACTAAACACCAAGACATTCAGTAGTTTCTCTGAGTGCACTGATTTTTGAGAATATTTTTTTTTTTTTTTTTTGGGAATTAAATGTTGAAGTTCTTGTTTATCATCTAAATTTCAAGCTGTTGTGCTTTGTATTTTTCCCCTTTTAAAAAAATGAAAATTAAAACCACAGTATTTAAGGAAGGTCTGGAAATTCTCAACCTCCTCATTCTTCCTTGCTGAAAAAAAGAACATTCTTTCTTCTAAAGCATCCCATCAACTATTAACATGCCTAAATCCTGAGGTTATGAGAGAAGAGGATGTCCTTGCCCATTGTAGACAGGTTGAACTAGATAATCTTTAAAGGTCTTTCCAACCCAAACAATTACGTGATTCTACCTAAGCAAGAAGAGTTAACTCTGGAGGCCCTTTATATTCCCCTGGATTTGCTAATAGGACATATAAAATATGACACAGCTTTCTAGTGTGGGCAGAAAGTGGACATTCAGAAATCCTATTCCACATCCTAAAGAGGACAGGATTAGCTCCCAGACACCAACTCCACTCATTGCTGACTGAAGCTCTGCTCGAAAGGGTGGGATTTCATCAGTGAGCTCCAGCCCTTCCCATGGGTGACCACTGGTCACATTGGTCTTACCCCTTGTAAGAGTGAAATTGAAGTTCCAAATTAATCTGAAGACTGATAGTTGTTATTTGTCCTTTCCCTTGGGAATGCAACACCCTCCAGACTGAAGGATGAGATGCTGGAAGGCACTTACCTGTGTCTGCTAACTCCCTGCCCAGGCTGTCCACACAGTAACAGTACCCAGAGATCTCCGGGAACGCTTCCCTCACCGAGCTGAATTTTTGGAAAGCCCTTGGGAGCCTGGAATAAAACGTAGCATGCAGAGAAGAGCCTAGAGATGCTCATCAACCACACAAAGCATCAGCTGTTTCCTTCCTGATTTTGCAGGAGAAGGATGTCTGCAGAGCACAAGGCCAGTACAAAAGGCTCTTGCTCTCCTTTTGGCAACCAGGCTCTGACAAGATCCAGAGCGCTGTTTCAGCAGGATAGCAACTCTCCTAAATACCATTTTTCTAAACAAAAAGGGGATAATCTCCCTTCAAACAGATTTCTGAGCCTTCCTAAGCAGGTACCCAGCAACTCGTTTTCAATTCTATTCTCATCTTTGGAAGCCTGTCAGAGAGTGTAAAAAAGATGGGCGTTGGCTTAATGTTATTACAACACCCATTCATTAGCTCCTTCCACAAATCTGCATGAGATGGCAGAATGCCTAAAAAACCATGTTGCTTCCCCTTCCCTACATGCCGCGTACAATTTCTGCACTGAATTAAGTACAGAAGCTGATAAAAACCTCACTAATATCTTTCATTTTCAAGGCATGGCTCAACAGATTAAGGAGAAGGAGAAAGGGATTTTAATATGAAGCAAGACTGACTTTGGCTTCTGGAGATCAGAGATGGTTTCCAGTGTAATATTCTAAGAGTGACAACAGCCAGATTCCAGCAAAGCAATTATTTAAGAAAGAAACTTAAGAGGGTCCAAGTTGGAAAAAACATAATAAATGTGGTCTTAACTGACAGACATCCTAGGGTTTCTCCAAGCAAAAGGGAAGTTTCAAGTTCTAGTTTCAAAGTGACAGTTTCTAAAACAACCATATTATTTTATGGACACATCCCCTTACCCCAAAGTACTATAAAGGTGTGGTGCCCCAGCTGCACGTGGCTTATTTGGAAAAACCTAGCAACAAGAAAATGGGATTTTCTGCTCAACACCTTCAGAGAGTTACACAAATTAGGTTTTTACCAAGGATGGACACTCAGCAATAAGAATATTGGTGGATTAGGCACTGATTAACTGGGGAAAAGCAGTTGACAGCCTCCCTGTGAAACTGTGACCAGGCTCAATTCAGTGCCACACTCCAGCAGCCTCAGCAATGCTTTAGAACAAGTAGCCTGAGAACAGCACTGAAATGCTTGTCTGGCTCAGAGCTGGAGTAGAGCAAGGGGCATTTGACACCTCCAAGACTTTGCCTGAATCATAGAATATTCTGAGTTGGAAGGAACATTAAAGACTCTAGTTCCAACACCCCTGTCATGGGTGGGGGCTGCTTCCACTAGACCAAGTTGCTCAGGCTCCCATTCAACCTTGGCTTCCAACATTTGTAAGGATGGGGCATCCACATTTCCTGTAGGTAACCTGTGCCAGTGCCTCAGCACTCTCAGAGGAAAGAATTTCTAAAATCTAAATCTAAATCTAAACCTATCCTCTTTCAGTCCAAAGCCATTCCCCTTTGTTCTAACACTACTGCATTTGTTAAAAGTCCTTCTCCACCTTTCCTGTAGCCCCCTTCAGGTACTGGAAGGTGCTATAAAATCCCTCAAGAGCCTTCTCTTCTCCAGGGTGGACTCTCTCCGACTGTCTTCATAGGAGAGGTGACTCCTGGGAGCTCCACCACCTCCTGTCAGGAGAGCTGAAGATGTTACTCCCTCCACATCAAAGCACAGCCTTGGGAATGCCCAAAGCAACAGCACCTCTGTCAGAGGAAGGGGCTGTAACCTCAGGGTTGTCCCGGCATAACCCAGCAGTGCTCCTGTCTCAGAATTTGTACATTCCTGTGTAATGCTCCTTTTCTCTGGCACCTTCCACATCTTCAAATTAAAAGTCCATTGACTCCCTCCACTTTGGATTGTCAAATCCTGCTCCACTGCTGACCCTGGAATGCTGAGAGATGGCACACTTCAGGGCACAGAGGGACTTCTGCCAGCATTAAAACAATACCATTTAAGGTATAAACACATAAATAGCATATTATAGTCTTCAATGTGCACTTGGGCATAAACAGCTTGGGGTATTTTAAGACCTTTCAGCTGCCCTGGATTACCATTCCCAGTCAGGAATATGATCTTTTCTTCTGCACTGCTCATCACCTCAGCATCTCCACCTCTATCTGAGTGAAATAGGAGTCAATGGAAAAACTCTTGCATCCTGCTTTCTTTCATTTTCATTTCATTTTCATTTTCATGACATTAAGAAGTCATGCACCCTATTTTATATGGGGCAGATCTCGTCATTCTGGTTATTTTTGTTCCAAGTTGAGAGTAAAGCTAAATAAATTACAGATATCAATTAGGCCCACAGAAACAAGAGGGTAAAACTTTTCTCACCTTATGTGGAAAACCCAATTCTTACCACATTTTTTTATTTTCTCAGACTCTTTAAACACAGCCATCATGATGAGTAGCATTAACATAGAATTCCTAATTTTTCAGAGTCAGTCCAAACCAACTGTGACTACACTTAAGTGATGGATAAATTTATAGTGTCTCTATGTGTTTCAACAAGAATGCTCACACTCAAAAATACAGGAAAATAAATAAAAGAGAAGTTGTTGGCCTTCAAAATATGAGTCTCTGCTCTTGGCTTCCAGCAAAGACAACTCACTACTGATATAGCAAGAAAGTAAAAAAAAATCTTCCTTGGCTATGGATTTTTTGATAATTCCCATCAATCTGCTACAGGGTGTTCTACGTATCTGCCTTTCCAGGCAGGACCTGGACACAATCCATGCAGAAAAAGTAACAGCAGCCAAACTCGCCATGTGAGGCAGGAAATTTGGGCTCACCTTTATTTTTGGAAATTTTCTGTTTGGGAAAGTCTCAGCTCTAAAATTCTGAGTTTCCCCATTTTTGTTTGTTTGAGGGAGGTGGTTTAACATACTGGCTTATTCTGGAATATTTGTGCAGGTCTAGGGAAACTATTTGGCTTATAGGATGACATGTCTAGATTTCAAAAAATCACTCTAGGGAGCCAAAGCAAGTTTCTCCACTGGTTTCATATGAACATAAAATATGGGTTAAAATCCCTGTTCAACTACAGTCCTTTGCCGTGGAACTCATCCCTTCAACTCCACATTCTGCCCTGGTTTGGGGAAGGAATAATAACATTTCAGGCAGGAGTAGTGTGAAAATAAATATATTAATGACCTGAAATACTCAGATATGATGGCAAAGGTTAAGCCAATGCCATAATTAGAAGGTAGACAGCTGGGACTGAAATGATCCTGCTGTGATTAATTACATGACATGGACAGAAAATAAATCCAATTTTGCAGGTCTTTGCAGGCAAATCTCCCAGTGGGAGGAAAAAAAAGTCAATTTAAAACATTGATTTCTCCACTATAATTGCTTTTTAGCATTTTAACACTCCACAGACCAACAAACAAAAGAGCCAGATTATTTTCCTCTCACCAAAATAACCTCTCCTGAAGCTCTGAAAAATTTGCACTGTGCATTCAGATTTGTCTTTCAATTTTACTTAAATTAAAAAAAAAGAAACCCCTCCACACAGCAAAACTGACATTTACAATAAAACACCTTTGCTGCTACAGAGCCAAGTCACAATGAGATGTTATGTTTAGTGCTCTGCCCTCCACCAGAGAAACTGGTGCTTACTAAGGTGCCAAGTCAGTGGCACTCCATGAGACACTGAGAGGTTTCTCAGGAGAGTCTGAACATCTGCATCAAAACAAATTCCTCTCCCATCAGCTCCCCTTGCCCATCCCTCTAGCTCCATCATCGTATTAATTCCCAGCTCCTCCACAGGACAACTGCTTCCTGCCCTCACAGACAAGGATTTGATCCAGTGTTCTGAGGCATTCCCCAACCCTCTGCAAACACCTGAAGCCAGGTGTGCACCAGCACAGCTTTTCATCCTTTGCTGTTTCACCCATGTGAGCAGCCCTGGAGCTGCCTAATATTTAGGCAGGTAAGAGGTTCTCATCATCAGATGGAACTTCATCCTTGCATGTTATCACTTGTCCATCTGCTTTCATCTCCCATATGGAATTGTCTTTCCTACCTCATATATACATCCAAATTCCTCTGTTCCTTTTGCATTTATCTCATTTGCTGTTGTCTGTCTGTCTCAAAAGTAGCCCTGGCTACTTTTCCAACTACATATCACAATGTGGTATCCAGTGGTGTATGAGGACACGCCAATTAGACTGTAGGGATAGAATGTATATATATATATATTTTTTTTAACAGGCAGATTTAATTCATAAGAAAAAGGGTTTTTTTGCTTGGTCCATTCTTTAACAGAAAATATAATAATGTGCATTTACAGAATAAGAGCTCCGTGTAGCAAAAAATTACAAAAAATCAATCAGATGGTGCCTTGAAGGGGTGTGCAGGATTGTATTCCTGATTTAGAAGCTTGAGCTCTTACCTATTGTAACTATGAACAAGATCAAAAACACTCATGTCCGTTGTGTTGACAAACTTGCACTGGACAGGCAGGAACTCTCCATCTGCTGAGCACTGTGGTGGGCTCTTCTCCCCAAACCCGTGCAGGATGCGACGATCTCGGATCTCGCAGTTCCCTGGGCCTAATCAGAAAAGAGGCAATGGTTATTTGTGTGGTAATTTCCCCCAGACAGCTGAATGGTCACCCTCTTGTTTAAAAGGGGGTTACACTGAGCAGGGACAATGAGGTCATCATCTTGTTTTTATGAAGAGTGGGGAATTGGACTCAATGATCTTATTGGTCCCTATTCACACCAAGCCTTTCAAACCCACAAACTCCATAATTTTGTTGAATATCACTTACACTGTGCTGGCTTTCCTCTTTGTCTGGTGCCATAAATCTCCATTCCCTCTGGATCTACACACCAGCACTGCCCCAGCTCCATGTCACACTGCACCTCATCGAAAGCCCCTGAATCCAGGCACTGAGGGATGTAGGAGATGCTGCTGCTGTTGATGTATCGGCTCACCAAGATCCTCTGCCTTTGCAGCTGGCAAAAGGACAAGCCTGGAGTATCAGAGAGGGGCACTGTTAGACAAAGGTTCTTGTTGGGCACTGAATCATTTCTTGAGGCAACATCTGAGATCTGTCAGAATTACAAGTTCTAAGTTTTCCACACAGATGGCATGAGGACATTGATGGACTTAGGTTATGAAAATTGGTATAGAGAAGTCCACCACATATGGGGTTGAAGTTCTCCAACTCAAAAGCCATTACACTAAATCAATCTTTCATTCACAATTTGTCTTACTGGGACCTTCATAAATAGACATCCAGGTGTATCAGGTTTCCATGATAAGCCTTGAAGAAACTCCAGAATTTCCAATAGAAAGACCTAGCAAATTACCACAAATTAGAGTCCATCGAAGTCTGGAGCTAGCCATTTCTTGATTTCAGCAGTTCAAATGCAGATTTAAATGGTTCTTTACTCAGTCTGAGCCAAGATAGAAACTTTTTACTTACAAGATATGGGATATCCATTCTGCTTGCTGCCAGGAACCTCAACACCATTCTCATCTACACACCAACAGGAAAGACCATTCCTACTGCACTGCACTGTCCTGAAGAAGATCACAAGTAACATTTTATTTTGTGTGTGTAGAGTCCTCAGTCAGACATAAAAAAACCCATAAAGCAAACCAAACCACATCAAATACTTCAAAGTCACAAATAATGAAACTGGAAAGAGCTGCATTTCTGGTGATTCTGATCAGTGGGAACCCTTAATTCTAGTAATTTTCTGAACTCTTCAGGAATTGCAGATATGTGAATTGAAGTCATTGAGGAAGCAAGCAGGTTGGATAGAACCCTAATTCTTATTGTCTGAAATTCACCAAACACTTTGGGACAGTTTCAAGGGCAAATCTAGAATGGTCACAGCTGCCACCAGAGGCAATAAAAAGATAATAGAGAAATTACAATCTGTACTTAGCCTCAGTTTTAACTTGTTAGCTTCTTGCACCTTCAAGCAACATGCTGCTCTTTAAATCACTGTTCTCTGTGTGCTTTTTAATTCCTTCACTGCCTTTAGAAGGAAACATGACTGTGCCACTGACCAGGGTGGATAAATTCTCAGTCTCTTGGCTGAGCTGTGCCAGCTGGCACACACATTCACCTATGAGCACGTGTAGGAAGACAGCAAAGTGCATTGCAATGCAAACTGCACCAAGTATTTGACATGCAAATAATGCTGCCAAGATTAGCCTGTTAATCTCAGACCTCTTAACTCAGAGATTACTTCCCATAACAGGGAATTCATCTGGGAGAGGTTGGTTCTGCAACATGGCTCAGTGAAGTCCCTTCAAGTCTCTTGCACCCCTCATCCTCCAGTCCTTTGATACAGTGGCTCTTCAAGACAGGCTAAAACTTTCATTAGCAATGAAAGGTCACATCATATGGCAGGACATGAATAGCAGGGATGAATTACCTGAACTGGCCATCCTCTGAGCACTGAGGAACATAGGCTTCTCCTGCTGCAAAAGCCTCTTCTCTCTGAAGCTCACATGGACGCAACGGCTGGGAGTCAGTCTGATACTCTGAAAACAGCAAGGAGATAAACACCTAAGGAGGGTCTCACCACAAACCCATTCTTATGAAAACCCTGTTCATGCCAGTGCTGCAGCTGAACAGTTTCAGGGGTTCTCCCTGGATGTTTTCCCCTTGTTTCTGTGCATTCTGTGTGGGACAGCACAGGGAGGTACTGAACAAACCTGCTGCTCTGCCAGCTGCAGGATGAGCCCATGATGGAGATGATCATGAAACCCTTTCCCAGGCCTGTGTTTAGTTAGTCTCAGCTCTGTTCTGTACTGGCCTGGCTATAATTTTCTAGTACTTGGGGTTCTTTACTTAGCTGTGCCTATGACCACAAAAGAGCCCTTTGCATAGCCACACACACCACTATTAAATTTTCTGAGTAATTATCCTTTACTGAAGTTAAGTCACTTGATATTTCACCAAAAGGAGAGTATTTCTTCTTAATCTCATAAAGGATTTTAAAATAAAAAATTTCTAGCAGTAGCATCAGACTAATTCATATTAGGAGCACTCTCAGTTTTCAATGGGGCAAATTATCAACTACTGAAACCACCTGGCAGATTTTTAATTATTCAAAGCTGCACTAGCTACTCTTTTAGATGTAGAATGTAGAATGATGAAATACAGTAAGTTCTTTTTTACAGAGCAGATTAGTTGATCTGACAAAATCTGATGAATGTAATCTTCTTAATACCATGGATTAGTTTATAAAAATACAGCAAACAAACCCCCAGGTACAGCAATTTAGTCCAAATGTTTGCTTAAGCCAGTTTTGGTCTGAGCATGATCACACACTGTATTGTAAATACATCATAAGTATTCTGAATGCTTTTCAGCCTGAAATAATTTGCAACTCGGGGAACTTCTACAGCTGCAGACCGTTCCTGTGCTTCTAATGCTTCTCAATCATATTTGTTTCTTAAATTTTTACTGTGTCCCCTTAAAGCCATGTGAAAATTTTCATGAGATTGCAAAATTTCAAGTGATCTCATCTACAGACAATGTCACATAGGCTAAGCTCCCCATTTTCACCTCAAACATCAGCTGCTTTGGGATGTGTGGAGATCCCTATGTACAGTGCTAGAGAGGATCTACCAAGACATCTGAGTTAAATGACTAATTAATTCAGTGATTCAAATCACTGATTGTGCAGGACTATCAAACTCAGTCCAAAGAACTGGGGGCTCAGCTAGCACTCACACTCTCCAATATCTTTAGGTTCAAGCCTAAATTAGACAATGGCACCTACAAGTAGAAGATGTGATTGAGGAACTTCACAACCCTGCAGCAGCACCTCTTCTTACCTGTGTTGCTTCTCCAGCCCTTGAGAAAACATTTTTTTTCCACCTAAAATTCAGGTGTACAAACTTGGGTAAGCCTGACCACCTAAAGATCCTGATAGTTTAGTATTCAACCAGGAGCCCAGCCTTAGTTTGCACAGTACACAACAACCTGCTAAATTTTCAGAGTGCAAGATTCAAGATCGTTATAATACTTCATTAGGACAACACACAGAGCAGCACAAAGATCAGTCACCCTTAGACACAGGCAAAGGAAAAGGACAGGTGTACTTACCAAATATATTGGCTGCTGCTATGCTAATAAAGCAACAGAGGGTGCAAAATGGGACAGAGCCCATCTTGCAATGGGAGAGCCCCATCCCCTCCTGTCTCTGAGGCAGCTCTGTGCACCCCACAGGGCATTTGCTGCCCTTTTATAGCACCCATCATGGGGATGGGTTCACTTCTGTGCTGCTGGCTGGGCACAGAATTGGCTGAGTGACGCACATGATGCTTCTGAGCAAACTGCAAGAGGCCCCTTCAGCTGGAACTGCCCTCCTGGCTCCCCTGAGCCAGCTCTCATCCCCGCTCCAGGGAGCACAACCAGGCCAAGTGGCAGCACGCACAGTGGGTGGCAGGGAACTCAGTTATTCCAAGTAAATTGAGGATATTTGCCTGACCCTGGGCAGAGCTCTGGCTCTCACCTGCCCCAGGGCGAAGCCAGGCTTTGTTCTACCTAGTGGAATTGCACAGTTTTGTATTCCCAGCGGGCTGAGCCTGCTAAGGGACAGACCAGAGTGAGACCTCTGGCTGCTGCACATTAGGAGTGAATATAACTCATAATGTGGTTTTTACTAGTGGAAAACAGGATGGATGCACCTCACAGGCTAAAGTGAATTGAGGATCAGTCAATCACATTCCATCTTTTGATTTCACTCCCACTTGCACCATGCACTTTAACACAGCCGAGTATCTGACAGGCACAGCTTCACTTCTTGGGCTTCATCCTCTGGGTGTAAGAAAAATATGACCATGAAGCTTCTTAAGTTAAGCTTTTTGGTACTAATTAGATACAAGATCCTCAACGTAAAACATACGAGAAATATTTCATTGGTTCTGGAATTTCACTTGTTAATTGGCCACTTCTTGTAACTGTGAGTCAGCACTTACTTGCACTAGGAATTATGAGAACTCACCCTCACTTGTAACAAAGGTGGTTGGATAAATAAGCCCCAAATCATTACTTAAATAATAACAGCACATCTTTGAAGCTGGATTTAACTCGATTTCAAGAAAAAGTGAGAGCAGCACTCCTGTTTGTGATTCATGGATACTAGATAGCCTTAGAAACAACTCTGCTGATACTCTCCCACAGACTAAGATCATGACAACAATGATCCAGCATCCATCTGTGCTGGCTGTAGACCACTGCCATGCCACAGTGTTCAATGGATATGGTAAATATGATCTCCAAGAGCAGCACAAGCTTCTTTTAGCATGACTAAGATTTTAAAAATGAGTGGGACTGTATCTGCTCAAGTCCAGAATAGGTTGCTTGAACATAAATTCCAAAGTTAACAGTCTACAGAAAGATCAAGCTAGGAAAAAATGAAGAACATGTCTAGCATAGATGACAGATCAAAAAAAGGCATAAAGAGCCGTAAAGATGACAAATTCTGTAACAGCCCTGATCAAGCAGGCACAGAAATAAACTGAATTTCTGGATTAGCACAGTATTTGTAAGGAAACATCCATGAAGAGTGAAAGAATCAGATTAAATAACTGAATTAGCACCAGCATGGCTAAATCAGGAAAGAAGAAAAGTTTGACCATACTTCTGACCCAAGGCTGCTTCAAGAGCCTCAGATTTGTGTCTAAGCCCCACACAGGAGAGTGACAAGAGAGAGCCCAGCCCAGTGCCACAGACAGGCTCTGCAGAGGCAGCAGGCTTGGTGCTGGCAGGTCCTGTGATGTGTCCAAGCCAAAGAAACATCTCCAGCATGTGTGGGGCTCTGTGTGTGATACTGATTTAGCCCAGTGTTCTGAAGTTATTAGAAAAGTGTCATTGAGGTTCCTTGCACAGCAAATGGGGAGAGAAGCTTATTAAGGTTGCCATTCACTTTCCTTCTTTATTCTTTGCTATAAAAGACTGATAAATGGAGGAAGGCATACAGGAAAGTATGAAGCTATTATTATTAGACAGAAGCACAAACTCTATGAAGCAGATCTATCTATGTATTGCTGAGTCCCAAGATGATGTTTATTTCCTCCAGAAACACTCAAAAAACAACCTATGAACTACTTGAGTTGGGAAGAACAGCCAAGTCTTGAAAGTCTCTTAAAAAACTAAGAAACTAAGTGAGAAAAGGAATTTTGGCAGTTGGTATTACTCAACTTGCGTCAAACCAAGGTGGGCATCTTGGTTCATGAATGTTCAAGGGGATGCGAGAGCCCATGGATTAAAAAGAGAAAAAGTTGTTTACAAAGCATTGTGTAGAATTCACATTCATCAGGGAAAAAGAGGCACTTGTCTATCTATGGCTGGTCAAATACAAAGAAAATCCTTGCATAACCTTCAGTGAAGGGACAATGGTATTGACCTTTATTTTTAGCACCTGAGAAAAGATGGAGTAGCACCTTAAATTAGCTCACCAAAGAAGAGCAGAACAACAGTAAGTAGAAAAGGTCTCTGTGGCCAATGCAGCCTTAAAACTATCATGTCTTCAAAATCGTTGCTCTAATGCTGGAAATGAGTGTTTTGTTTTGTTTTGTTGTACCTACTGGCAAAAGCTACTCAATCTATACTACAGACTACAACTGCTGGGGCAAAGACAAAGGTCAGTGGGATGAGACACAGCAATCACAAACCTCAAAGAAGTTTATTCACTGTTCCAGTTTTGCATACACTTTCTTAGCAGAAGAGACAGTTTGTGCAACTGCAATTTTACATATTGAAAGGCCCAGGGATAAAAGAGTCATGTATATAAATACACAGACACCTGTACCCACAGAAAAGTTACTCTTACCCCATTCAAATTTGAGCCTGAAAAGTCAATCTTAGTTTAAAAAAAGAACTGGAGGGAGTTTCCCAAATGAGGCAGCAAATTGGAAGCAAAAGTGTTAAGAAAGCATTGTGAAATTATGCTTACATCAACCAGTTCATTCATTTCAAATGATAAATTGTTTTTCTGTGTTAAATAAAGCACCAATGTTGGACAATGCTCTCACACATTGTAAGAAAGCTACATAAAAAAAAGGCTTTTGTAAGTTTTGTAAAAAACCTTTTTTGTAAGGTTTACATTTAACACATTTCCTCCCAAGACCTTGTGAAGCACTTATCTGTATCATCTCTGATTAAGACCTCATGTGATGTAAAATTTAAAAACTACAAGATGACAGTCCCAGATAATGCACTTTTCAGTGTATTCACTTTGTATGTGACATATTCTTCAAATTTACAGAACAATAGGGAACTTTCAGTCATTTCCATGCTAAACTTGGCTAGATGAGAAAAGTGGGCACAGGACTTGTCAAATTTTAAATTACAACTTACCATTTGGAAAAGTGCCTTTGGTGACAGAAGAATCTAAAGAAGCCTATGTGAAATATTTGAATTTGCATTTATCCCTGTAGGAATTGACCATTTTTAAGACAAATAAAATTACATTTTTTTCTTACTTATTCATTGAAAATATCAGAATTTTCCTCAATCCAATAGTATCACAGTGATTCCAGGTAGAAAAATAGGTATTTTATTCTCACAACACCAGGGATGCAGATTGATTTGAAACCCCAAGCAGGAGCCAGGTCTGCAAACACAGAGACAACACAGGAGGATTTGCAACTTGAATCGATTCAATATTTGACAAAAAAATGCTGAGGCAGTGAGAAAAGTCACCACCAGTCACAGGACAGCAAGAAAGTGCCAAAGTCTTGGTGCTGGTGAGACAAAACTGCTTTGGGTCTTTTCAATAATGCAGTATTTAACCTTCTCTGAACTAAGGGCAATGGTTCAGAGACAGTGGCGTCAGAAAGGAAGTTCAAGGACAAACACAGCTCCTGCCACACAACAAAGCTGTGAATTCTGTAAGCCACCAATGAAAAAGATGGATTAAACTTGATGAGTCCATCTCTGAAAAGTGACTGATATAACTAATGTACCTAAACATTTTGGTAAAGGAACCCTCAGATTGCCAGAAGTGAAAGACATTCAGAAACAAGGTAATTTGCACAGATATTTCATAGCATGTTTGTACAGATCTGACATCCTATTTCTGCTGCAGACAAGACTCTGGGCTGGCCAGACAGTTGGTCTGACTCAGGAAACCTCTTCTTCAAAAAGTCTGCTAATTCAAAAAAGTGTTTCGCTATGTTGCTTCAAGCCTGTATCTGGTCTTGTATCTTAACTTTGAGAGCCTGCTTTGAGACTGTCCCTTCAACAATGATTAAAATGTTTCAGAATTAAAATTTTAAAATTCATTATTTATTATTGTAGCTACATTTCTGTGAATGAAAAAATTTTTCTATGTCAGTAACTTACTGAGATTCTGTCCAATTTTATTCATCTGCTGCTTATCACATGTGCCCTTGTCTACAGGATTTCTAAGAGAGGAACTTCTTTAGCATTGTTGGCTTATTTGTTCTCTACCACAGTAGTGTCCTGGACAACTTGTGGATGATATTAAAATAAATGACTAAAAGTTAAAATTACTTTGTAATGACATTCTACAAAGGCACATGTCTGCCCACAAGAAGAGATTACATCACTGTGAACACAGTGTTAAAAGACATTTACTGTAAAGAATAAAGTGAGTGCATTGCAAAACTCCAACCCTGAAACTCTTAAAATACAAAAACAGTTCAAGAACAGAAATATCTTCTAATTACTTTGTCACATACATTAAGTAATTCAGTACTGTAAATAATTTACTTGTATCATTTGCCTACAGGCTAAAACACAACTGAAGACTCCCTCAAGCCTTGCAATGTAGAAAGCTGAGTATCAATGACTGCACATAACCTAAGGAAAACAGGCTAAATGTGCAACTGAAGATTCCCTAATGCTTTAAAACATATGCAAACAACCACTATCTCACCAGAAGTCCATGGAAAGGGAGCCCAGGCACGTAACAATCTCAACAGACTTTTATTGTGAGTATTAGAATGCAGTCAACATTATTGCTATTATAAAAAACAAATCACAGAAGGAAGTATTTTGCTTCTCTCACAGAAGATTTAATCATAGTGCAGTGCTGCCTCTCTCAGAGTCTTTAGTGACAATACACTGATGCACATGGCTACAGCTGAACACAGGAGGCTTGGCCAGTTTTCAGGAAAGGAAGACAGCTGTTTGAAGCAAATAGCAATTGAACTAGCTTTAGTTATCCCACCCACAGAGTAAGGGAAGGGAACTTCTCTCCTGAATGATTTTTCATGCTAGTTCATTTTCTCCACATGGTCTCAAATTTTTCATTTGGGTTGTTCAGGCTGGTGCAGAATGGCTGCCAAATGCACAATCTGCACTTGGTGCAGTGTATTTTCACCATCGTTACATGCTCTGTATTTGTTTTCCATATACAAACAGATATACACATAGTGTATAATATTTATTGCTAAAGACAGACCCCCACACCCAGTGCCCAGGACATAACAAAGTATAATAGAAACCATTACTGAAGCATTTCAAACAGCCTCTGCAAAATCCTCACCTAAAGCCATATGCAATCAGTATAACAGAAAA